TCTGTAGGATGATTTAAAAGAAAAAAAACAATAAAAAACATCAAACAGCCATCTTTCAAACTGTTTTGCCGCTAGGTGTGAGTTGTATGGATTTTTGCTAAATTTATGGATTTGTGGTGGAAAAACCTAACATTATAGGAAAACTGTTCTGAATGTGCCAAAGCTGCTGGCATAATTCAGTATATTTCTAAACTTCTCACAAACAATCCATAGCCAGCCAAATTCTTGTTCAATATGTTCATTCAGTGAGAGCTTTTACTGAGCGAAGCAGCTGATGAGGCTACAGCTCGTCTGTGATGCGTTCAAGTCCACACTTTTGAGTGTTACCCACCGGATATACTGTATGTTCCTGCATGACTGCCAGAGGTGTGCACTCTAAAAGGGCTTCTAGCTCCAAATTTATTCAAAATTTTAGTGAATCTAAGGTTTGAGAACAAAAGTTCTGTACAAAATAGTAATGNTCTTTCTTTCTTTCTTTCTTTCTTTCTTTCTTTCTTTCTTTCTTTCTTTCTTTCTTTCCTTCTTTCTTTCTTTCTTTCTTCATTTTAGGTACATCAGCATCTTACCTGTCATTCCTGTCACCATTCACTTGAGGCCCCAGGAGGCCATCGACACGCGCCACCCTCAGGATACCAGACACCCTCCACTTTCCATCCCTAAAGTCTCTGCAGACTTACAGACGGACCTCACCCTCTACAAGTTAGTTCATCTAATTTATTTTTAGAGCAGCACCTGTTGGTGGATGTTATCATATTATCACACTGCTAAAAAATAAGCTACAACAGGTCCATGAATTCTTTTCTTCAGAAATGATGTTTTGCATGTATTTCTCCTTTTTGAAATAAAAAAAAAAAACGCCACGTACAGATGATTGTAGCCACAGCAGTCGTGTGCTCTTGGTCCAGAACAAAGTCCAAGGTAATCTTTGATCAAGGCCACAAAGTGTCCAACAGGTTTAAGGTTGTTTTTTAAAGTGGTGTCGTCTCCTTTGGAGATTACTGACAATTAATCCCCGACGCTTCCAAGACTAGATGATGTAAGTTGGGTGATTTAATGGTAATGTATTTGAGTCTCTTTTTTTTTTTACAGAAAAGGGTGTGAGTAGTATGTCACAGCTTTGACTTCAAGTTCAACGTGTCTCGTTGCTTATCTTATCTCGGGCATTACCTTAATCAAAGAAACTGTAAAAAAAAGAAATGACGTCAGGTATTATCTCATCTTTTAACAAGTATTTATTCCTCCTGACTGAACAAGTCTGGCCAGCTGCTTACTCACAAAACCTACAGATGAGACACTGAGGTGTGGGAGGAGGCACTTAAAGTGTATCTTACCCCATAACTCCACCCCTAGGCAATTTTTTTAAAATGCCTACAGTGGATAGTACAGGAGAGAAGGGGGGTGCCGCCTAAAGGGGGTGGAGGTGTGGTCAGGATGAGAGAACGTGACAGCTAGCTTATTTGACAAGCTAACATTTCTGATCGTTCTAAACAAATGATGTTTCGTAAAAAGTAAAGTTTCGTTACATAAACAATGATTCATGACATATTTCATTTAAAATGAACACGTCAGCTCATTCTGGGACTGACTCGTGTTGTCTCCCTGGATCATTCAGGACACAAAGCTGTTTACCGCAGCCTCGGCTGGTCTCTGTCCGACCCAGACCATACCACCCCCGGACAGCGGCGCTGGAGTGGCCCGATAGCCTGACAGAAAAAAAAAACCTGCACTGCAGCTGCTCTGCTCACAAGATCACTAGTTTAGATCAGGAATAAAAAAGTTCGGGTCTTGTTTGACTGAAGTTTGGATCCGGTTCAACAGGAGCTGCTTGTTAAATTTTCACAATGACAAACTGATCGCGGACATTGAGCTGTCAATCACTGCCTCACTGCACTGACTTTCCTCCTCCTGCTGTCTGCAGGTGTTCTGAACACACGTTCTTGTTTTCCTGCTTCTGCTGGACGTACAGCGGGCTGGGCTTCATCTGTCCGCCTTTCTTTCTGTCCTGAACACTGTGGCAATGATCTGTATTATATACTACTACTACTACTACTACTACTACTACTAATAATAATAATAATAATAATAATAATAGATCATTGGGGCTGTGTGTGCCTGGGGTGTGCATGTGTGTTTGTGTGTTTTAGTCCCGATCAAAACTACACGACAAAGAGACTTTTTAATTTGTTTAAAGGAGACCAATTATGCGTCCTAGAAATGTTTATGGTATGTCTGTGGGGTATCCAGACCATGTTCATTCAATTTAATGCACAAAATAATTCTCAGATAATAAAATTTDCCATTTTCTAGTTCTGCCTGCTCTGACTTCTGTTCAGAAGAGCTGTTTATGTTAATGAGCTCTGTTGGTAACGCCCTCCAAAAATTTGTTGACATTAACTCCGCCCCCCAAAGCCAGCGTTTACGTTAGCATGGCTAATAATAGCAGAAGCTCCTTTGTACAACCATATAAGACTCAGAGGCAGAGTCGTGGTCACAGCTTCTTTTTTTTCTCCCCCTCCTCTGCTCTGCGCTCACTCTGCATGCTGTTACCAGAGCAGGGAGCAGCAGCGGTCAAAATACCTTAGAAACTCGAACAAATAGGCTTTAATAAGGCTTTAATAAGCTAAACAATAGAAGTACATGAGAAAATGTGTTCATAACAAACGAAAATAATTAAATTGTGTCCGTGCCGGTCTCAAACCCTGGTCTCCCACTCTGGTCCAACACTCTACCCATTGCCCTATTGGAGGCTTGTTGTGAAGTGAGCTGCACATTGCACAACAACACCACGGCGGCTCTTTATACTGAGGAGGTGGAGTCTCACCCGGGGGTTGCTAGGTAAGGGGCTAAACTCAGGTTCCGGTGGGTTGTCATATGGCTTGTGACATCACAAAATGACGGAAGTATAAAACTTGTCATTAATATACATTAAAAATACATTTACTTACAGTAAATATGCCCCTGGGTGCATTTTTTGGTCCTAGGACTGTTTTTTTGAAGAAGTGCATACCCAAGGTTGAGTAAAAAAACCTTTAAAAAGTGAATTTTGTATAATAGTTCCCCTTTAAAACATTATTGGACCACAAAGAGGATCTGTAATGTAACTCAGTTTGTTTTATGACTGATAAGAGACAGATGACCAGTGTGAACCTGCTGGTTCAACACAGAGAGCAGAGCAGCGCAGGCAGCCTCCTCCTCCTCTCCCCACCGGAGGCTGAAGGAGAATCAGGCTGTGGAGCTAAAGTCTTATCAGATCGAGCTGCTGGTTCAAAGGTTGATTCAGCGATACATGAAGCCTTGTGTTACTGAGGCATTGTGTGTCTGTGTGTGATGTTCAAGTGATGCTAGCCGCTAACATGCTAATACGAAGCTGTAACAGACGATCAGGCTATGCTAGCTGTTCCACCCCCTGACTGCTGCAGGGGGCGTGTCTTAGAGAGAGGCTTTCATCAGAACACGGCAGCTGTGACAAAACCGTGGAGAAGACACGTCATTGTGAAGAGCCGTTAACCAATATGTAAATTAGACTGCAGAACCACTGCTCAACCCGTAGTATGCAGCAAAAAATGTTTTTAGATCAAATATTGCAGATTAGAACAAATACAAACAAAAACGTCAAAATTAGCACAGAAATAGTACTATATAACCTTTTAGACACATTCTAGGTAGTTTATCAGCTAAAAAAAGTTAATTTTGGGGTAAGCTACCCTTCAATCCTCCTGAGAACCTTTTCCCCCGACAGTGGAATACTACCATTTTTATAAGACTTCTTAAAGTTTGTTATAAGTTTAATTTAATCGCTGCTCTAACATAACATTAAATTTTTTTAAAATATTTTTTATATATATTTTCTGATCAAGAAGTTTCTCTTTAGGTTTTTAATGAACTTGCTGTAAATGAAACCTCTGGTTTGTCAGTCCAAATTACAGCAATGTTTCTCTTTTAAGCTACACTAAACGTTGATCAAATGAGCTTAAAATTTTGTAAAATAAGATTAAACTTAAATGTTTTATGCGTGGATTGTGTAACATTAATGATCCACATTGGTTCAGTTTTAGTTTAACTTTAGCATCTTGTGCTGGACTGTCTTTGTGCTGGGTTATATAAGGCAGGGTTTTGTCCCCATGACTGCAGTCCACTGAAGTGGAAGTTCTTTTTAATGTAATTGGGTCAAAGTTGTGACCCTCACAGTTGGGAGGAGGTAGCTAGCTTTTTCCGTTACTGAAACAGATAGAAGGCCAGTGGGATGAAAACCTTAGAGGTAGAATTGCTGCATGTGTTTTAGCATAGAGGAACACAGGTACTGAATGATGGTGTGGTGAAATTTTTTATCACAAGAAGATTTTTTTATACAGTGAATTTAGCATGTTAAAGGTTTATTCTGCCATTCTTTTTTGGGACATAGTGCTTTAATAGCTCAAATCAAACAAGTTGCTTTGATTTTTCTTGTTTTTGTGAAAGTTTAAATATGTCAAGGAGTGCTTATGAAGTAATGTGCCTCACTGGAAAATATTTTTATCTCTTTCTGAATGGGGACATATGCAAAATCCACTTTTTTATCAAGTAAATGTGTTTCATTGCGTATTTGGAGTCTGTAGGAGTGCAGAGAAGTGTAATTTAGTCTTCCATTGCTGCATAGATATCTTTATATTCTGTTTGGGTCGGATTTTTCAACCTGTGACCTTTTCTGAAATATTATGTCAAATAATTTGCGTTGGAACTGCCAAAAACGGTCTGGACTTACCAACTTCAATTGGTGGTCTTCACTCTTCTCTGGCTCTGGGTCAGACTCTGGTTCCAACACGTAAGGCTGGATGGACAAGTCTTCCCTTCGTTTACGTTTTATACTTACTTGTATTACTTATTTTATACTTAATTTGTTTAAAAAAAGTTTCTGAGATGCTATGTAAACATAAGCCCCTCTATCAAACTGGAATAAACCGGTCTGTAAAATGGAGGAGGACAGGGTAAGATTTAAAGAGACGGCCTCAAAACGAGTTGATCTGAGACACAGCTCAGAAAAAGGGCGGGGCTTCTGGTGTTACAATAAGGAGACCAAAGTATTGCAGTTCCATTTTATATAGACCCCATGAATGATTTAAATGTGGAAAAAAGGATTTAAAAGCATATGACCACTTTAAAAAATAGAGGTATTGTTTAGTTTTTATTTAATTACAAATTAACAGTTTTAATCAGTTCAGTGTAACATAATTAAAAGACAAATTTTAGTTGTAAATAAACATTTTAGTATGATGAAATCACACTGTCGTCACATTGACTCCACATTTCTCACACTTGGCAGTAAACAGAATATTTCTCAGACAAACTCTGAAGTCTCTGTTTTGTTGTGAAGAAACATCTGCTCTTTACACATTTAAGCACTTTTCTTAGTAAAAACCTGAGCCTGCATGTTAGTTTAGGGAAAAAACAGTGTCTGTGTTTCCGTTCAGGGTGGCAGCTCTGGGCCTGGCTGCTGGCGTCCTGCTGGTCCTCCTGCTCTTCTGTCTCTACCGGGTTCTGTGCCCTCGTAACTACGGCCAGAACGGCGTGGCTCACGGGCGCCGGCGGCGAGGCGACCTGCCCTGCGACGAATACGGTTACTCCCCACCTGTCAGTGAGATCTCACCGCTGCTGCTGCGAGGCCACAGCATGGTGAGAATGGATTTAAGACAAGCAGGAGAAAAAAAATCAGATTCCTGGATTATAAAAAGCTATGTTTAGGCTAGTGATCTGCCGGTGTGTTTTACAGGACATAGAGTGTTTGGCCAGTGATGGGATGCTGCTGGCCAGCTGTTGTCTGGCTGGACAGATTCGTGTTTGGGACGCTCAGACTGGTGACTGTCTGACCGTCATTCCAAAGCAAGGGTGAGGCTAAAAATGTTTTCTCACAATACTCTCTGCCTTTAATTTCTGTAGCCAAGACGGTTAATCTCACCGAAAATCCATGACATACTCACATATCCAGATTTTTCATGTACCTATTTTTATTTATTTATGATTTTTTTTACTTATTTTGAATTAATTACACAAACATTATTTTTGTTATTGATTTTAATTTTTTTGTATTTCAGCTTCAGTATTTTGTATATCCAGCTGATGTATATTTTTTTATTTATTTATTTATTTATTTATTTATTTATTTATTTATTTATTTATTTATTTATTATGTGCATTAGTCTATACTTGTTAATTACCAGTCCTCAATTTACTCGTAATTCCATCAATAACAAGACCAGTGACATTTTGTTCTGTTTTGTAGCACAGTTTATTTATTTATATTTCTCCTTTCTCTCCTCTTCTTTTTTGTTTTGAAATGTTGCACAATTGTTTATAATGTTTGTCTTCATTGTGTTTTGAAAAAAACAATATTAATATTTATTAGCTTCATACTAAGCAAACGCTACATTTGTCTTCTTTGATCTATTAAAGGGATCCCCGACTAGTTGTAGCATTAGACTTTATTTAATAAACGTATATTTTAACTGTATAATAAAGACTGTAAAAATAATGCAGGATGTTAAGTTTCGTAAATGTTTTCAAAATAAATTTTAACACGGACGAGGCCATTTTATTTACACGCAAAGCATTCTGGGTAAATGATGACGTGGATAGGTCATCTTGCGAGGCTGCTAGCGAGCTATATCCACCCTGAAGGTTAATCTTGGACAATATCTGATGATCGACTCTTTTAAATGAAACCAGAGAGCGTTGACAGAGAGGAGAAGGTAGAAATGACTCAGCCTGGAACTGAAAATATGGATGGAGGACAACAGAGCTGCTTCATGGAAGAAGAACCTCAGCTTAGCCTGTTAGCCTTTGTGCTAGCGCCGATGCTATATTACCTTATATGTGCTAGCTCTGCGCTATCGCAACAAACAAGCTAAACTGAGGTCCTCCATCCATATTTTCAGTTACAGCTGAGTCATTTTTGTGTTCCCGTCTCTGTCAGGTGGATGGAGGACTTCAGTGACGAGAGGAGAATGTGTAGCACTCAGCTAATACATATTTATGGTGATAGCATCGGGGCTAATGCTAAAGCTAACAGGCTAAGCTGAGGTTCTTCTTCCATGAAGCAGCTCTGTTGTCCTCCATCCATATTTTCAGTTCCAGGCTGAGTCATTTCTACCTTCTCCTCTCTGTCAACGCTCTCTGGTTTCATTTAAAAGAGTCGATCATCAGATATTGTCCAAGATTAACCTTCAGGGTGGATATAGCTCGCTAGCAGCCTCGCACCGAGGACCTACTCAATTCATCATTTACCCAGGATGCTTTGTGTGTAAATAAAATGACCTCGTCCATGTTAAAATATATTTTTAAACTTTTAGTTTAAAATGATAAAAACTAAACATCCTACAGTATTTTTACAGTCTTTATTTTACAGTTACAATAAATGTTTATCAAATAAAGTCTAATGTTACAACTAATCAGGGATCCTTTTAAAACAAACTTGGCCTCAGTTTTCATCTTCTTCCAGAAGCTAACTGACGTCTCTGTTGTCCTCAGGTTGAGACGAAGCAGCAGCAGTGGCTGCTGGGACCAGCGAGACGTCTGGGACAATATAAGCGGAACCACAGAGTCAGACTGTGCGTGTGAACCTCGAGACCCCTCCATCGGCTGCGACGGGGTACCAGAGGACAAGTGTTACCCCCTGAGACGCCGCAGTTCGCCCACCCGCCCGCCTCTGTTCACCGACCAGCCTGATCTGACTCCTCTCATCGACACCAACTTCACCTCCCAGCCGCCCTGCAGCCCCCCCACACCACCCAGAGGAGGCTTTGACTTTGGAGGACTGGTGAAGCGGGCCTACATGGAGCACGAGCCGCCATCACCTTCCACCTACCCCTCTCCGTCCTCGGCCTCCTCCTCGCCTCCTACAGGAGGTCAGGTCCAGAGGAGTCTATGCTTAGGGGAGTCAGCTGGGCTGTCGAACCCAGAGAAAGACTCTGGAGCCGGGGCATCTTCGCCAGCAGCGTCTGGAGACTGGGAGAGCTCCGTCTGGGCCATGGAGCTGAGAGGAAACCTGATTGCTGCTGGGAGGAGCAGTGGCAAACTGGAGGTGTGTCTCATCCGAGTTAAGGATCCACTCAAAATGTTTAAAACATCTTTACTCGGTTAAAAACTTCAATTCATGGCTTTCAAGCTAAAAAAAACAGTAACTGTTGTGTTTGTGTTCCAGCTGTGGGATGCAGTTGAAGGCTCGCTGCGGTGCAGTAATGAAGACGGTGTTTCTGGGATCACAGCTCTGGCGTTTCTCAACAACAGGTTCAACATCTGCAGAATAAACCTGCCACTTCCTGAACTCATGTATGGTTTTTAAGATGAATAAACACCTGAGACTTTGTTCTGACTTGTTTTTCTCCTCAGGATTGTGGCGGCCCGGCTGAACGGGTCTTTAGATTTCTTTACTGTTGAGATTAACAAACCTTTAGGTCTCCTGCAGTACAGAGGTAAGAAACTGCTTTCTACATCTTTTATTTTCATGATGCTAAATCAAAACTAAAGAAATTGCATTTCCTGCAAAAATGCTAGTGTGACTGCTTCTTGCTGAAAGCTAAAGTTTTATGCAAGTTCATTTAAAACGCAAAAAAGCATAAAAACCTCAAATTAGCAGAAAGAAGCACAAAGAAGACAAAATTACCAGAAGAACTAAAATAGCATAAAAAAGCTAAAATTGGCATAAATAGAAGCTAAAGGTAGCAGACACAAGTTAAAATTAGCTTACAGGTGGTGAAAGTGTTGTAAAAAAATATAAGCAAAATCAGCAGAAAAAATACAAAAAAGCTGCAATTTGTTGTAAAATAGCTAAAACAGGCAAATTGTGCATCAAAACAGCTAAAATGTAACTGAAAATGTTGAATTTAGCATTAAGTAGAAACAGGAAATTTTCAAAAAACGCATAAAAAGCTTAAATTGGCGGAAAGAATTAAAAAAGCAGAAATTAGCAGAAAAGTTAAAATAACAGTAAAAGCTAAAATTAGCATAATAAGAAGCTAAACGTAGCAGACACAAGTTAACATTAGCTTACAGATGGTGAAAGTGGTGTAAAATAACTAAATTAGCTAAAAAAAGAGTAAAAATACAAAAAATGCAATTTGTTGCAAAATAGCCAAAACAGCCAAAATATGCATTAAAATAGTTAAAATGTAGCTGAAGATGTTGAATTTAGCATAAAGAAGTAGAAGGAGCACATGCTCGCAGAAAGTAGCTGAAATGGCCCCCAAAATGTGAATTTAGCTTATAAACTAATTTTAACTAATAAGAGCTGAACAGTAGCTAAAACTGTGGAAAGCAACTGAAAGAAGCATATAAAGCTCAAATTAGCGAGAAGCTGAAAGCAAAAAAACATACCGTCTAGCAGAAGAATAACAAAAACGAGTAGAATTTTAGCAAGAACTAGCAGAAAAAAACTAAAACAAGCAACCAAAAAAAAGGAGCTGAATGTAGCACAAGGAAGTTAAAAAGTGCTGAATCAGATTAAAATGTGTTAAGTGGAGTAAAGATTTATTTACATTTTGAAGGGTTTTTTCAGGATGTTGAAAACAGCTCCATTCATTTTCAGTGGGAAAAATGTGGCCATAAAAGTGAAATAACTAAAAAAAGCTGAAGAGCTGAAATATCCAAAGTCAGCCTGAAGGATTGAATGTTTTGATACAAACCCAACCGCTCGAGGCAGATTTTCCTTTCCACTGTCACCAATGTGCTGCTCAGGATGGCAGACTGTGATGAAGTGAAGATTTAACACAATCTGCTGGCTTCTTTAGGTTGATTGTTTTTTGTGTACAGTGCCCTGAGACGTTTGTTGTGCAAAAACTGTCCATCTTACCAAGTTTTAAAATCTTATATCAGCCAAAAAGTCTTTTTGATCTTGTTTTGAGACTGATTTACTAAACAAGAACTGATTGTGTAAGAATAATAACCTTGTTTTCAGAAAGTGTAAGGTTATTTGTCTTGTTGGTCTGAAAATTTGACTCAAATTAAGTCAAAAGTTTCTGCCAATGGAGTAAGAAAATTTTACTTGGTAAGATTCTTAAAATACTTGATTTGATTCAAGTTTTTCTTGTTTCAAGAATCTTACCAAGTAAAATTTTCTTACTCCACTGGCAGAAACTTTTGACATAATTTGAGTCAAATTTTCAGACTAACAAGACAAATAATCTTACACATTCTGAAAACAAGTTTATTATTCTTACACAATCACTTCTTGTTTAGTAAATCAGTCTCAAAACAAGATCAAAAAAACTTTTTGGCTGATATAAGATTTTAAAACTTGGTTAGGTGGACAGTTTTTGCAGTGTAGTGACGAGAACATCTCTGTTTCTTAATGTAAAAAGAATGATGAAACAGGAAGCAGTAACCCTGATACTCCTCAAAAACATGTCCATCCTTACTCCCCTGCAGGGGCCCCTGGGCGAGGCAGCATGCCCCCATCTCCCTGTTACAGCAGTGAAGACCTGATCAGCTGCCAGCTGACGCGCTCCGTGCAGTGCGCTCACCAGAAACCCATCACGGTGCTGCGAGCGGCCGCCGGCAGGGTCGTCACCGGCAGCCAGGACCACACAGTCCGGGTAACTTACCCCAGCTTTCACTAGAACATGCCCAGATTTTCTTTTCTACCATGTTATGTTGCTCATGAGCCGTCTGTGCTCAGGTTTACCGCCTGGAGGACTCGTGCTGCCTCTTCACACTGCAGGGTCACTCTGGAGGGATCACAGCCATCTATATTGATCAGGTCTTTATTGTATTCAGATACTGTTTTCTATCAAAAGTTTTAGACCCAAATGTTTGACTTTATAAAACAAGAACTGCAAACTTCACTTATGAAATAGAAATAAAAAGCAGCTCTTACTCTGTGTGTTTTATGTGATGTGGTTGTATTTAGCTTTAAGAACATTTGAATGGATTTTACAATGCACACATTTATATTTTAACTATTAAAAGCAGTAAAACAGTTTTGTAAAAAACAAACTTTGCTAACAGTTTTTCTGTGTCCTCCCCTCAGACGATGGTTCTGGCGAGCGGCGGGCAGGACGGAGCCATATGTTTGTGGGACGTCCTGACAGGAAGTCGCGTCAGCCACGTCTACGGCCACCGCGGTGACGTCACCTCGCTGGTCTGCACCATCTCTTGCGTCATCAGCTCAGGACTGGATGACATCATCTGCATTTGGGACCGCAGCACTGGGATCAAACTGTACTCAATCCAGCAGGTACTGAAAGTCAAAAGAAGGAGCTCAACATGGATTTGTTTGGTCCTAATTTGATACAAAAATCTAATGAAACCTTATATTTTTAAAGAATAAATGTATAATAATAAGGTTGAAGGAGTCATTTAAATGTTTATTTTTCCTCTCATATAAAGCACAAACACTGAACCTGCTAACCTCTTAAATAAATCTTTCACGAGTTTTAGTTTGAGGGAAATAATTTATGAAATTATTGGAATGGCAAGGTTTTTTTTAACGCGTTTCTCCTCGTCTCCAGGAGGTGGGTTGTGGGGCCAGTCTGGGCGTGATCTCCGAGTCCCTGCTGGTGACGGGGGGCCAGGGCTGCGTCTCCTTCTGGGACCTGAACTTCGGCGACCTGCTGCAGACGGTCTACCTGAGCCCGAGCGGCGACGGTCAGGGCGTCCGGCAGCTGCTGGTGCTCGACAACGCCGCCATCGTCTGCGACTTCGGCAGCGAGCTCAGCCTGGTATACGTGCCTTCGGTGCTGGAGAAACTGGACTGAGGGAAGGGGTCAGCAGCTGAAACTGGTGGGAACATTTTAAAACATCCACAAATTAATTTTTTGGGGTTTTTTTTTAGCACTGTGTTTTAAATATAGAAGTTGAGGAAGAAAAGCTGGATGCTTTTCTCTTATCAATTCCCTTTTTTATGTATAAATATAAGCTTGTTTTTTTTTTTTTTTTTTTTTTTMTTTTMTCTTTTTGTGGCTCTGCCCTTTATGCTGCTGACATGGGTGGGGCTTCACTGTGACCCCCACCCTCTACAAGAGGAAACTTAATGATTCCCTCTAGGTTTTTTTTATATTCCTGCTGTGCTGTTGACTCGATGAAGTGCAGCCATGATGACCCTGACGGCTCTAAGGCCTGTTGGGATTAACGGAGCAGTTGTATGAATGAATGAATGATTAATTTGGACTCTTAAAGGCAAAAAAAACTGCCAGGAGCAAAAATCAGTTTGTGAACTGTATGTGTGAGGGAGAACTGCTGATTACTGTATAAAGTAAACCTCCAGTGGGGGATGTTTTTATATGTAAAAATCTACTATTTATTAGTGAAACCGTTTGAGTAACAGTTGGTTTTTGGATGACTAATCCCAGCTTTTAAACGTAAATATCACACAGAGAGGAAACAATTTAAATGTAGGAGAGCGTTTCAAACCGGCTATTTTTACTGTTTTGCTGGAAAGTGTTTGTTGCTGATGCTGAACGGAGGGGAGGGTCCCTTCATGCTACTACTCCTTTATCAGGCTACCTCCATTCTCAAAATAGCTTGAACTGTATATGACTGCCATTACTGTGCATTCACTTTCTTTTCACCCAACATGCCATTCTGTGCAACTCTCTGTGCCCACAACAAGGAGCAACTTGAACTGAATGAGAAAGGGAGGTCTCTGCAGTCACTAAGTAGGAGTTGGCCCAAGACATGATAGGTCAGATTCATTATAGAGATTCATTTTACTCATAACTTGAGACAGGAAGGTGCTCGCTGCATGACATTAGAAGTCAATAAATTGTTTACATGTTGACAGTAATTTTTATTTGAGTCGTTGTTCTGTTTTAAACTGTACATAGACAGTCAATAAATCATGTTATTTTACTATTACAAGTAAAATAAAGAAGTCAAACAAGTCAATCCGACCAATCGTGATTAGAATCAACTCCGCCCACAGGACATGTACTGCAGAGAGACCCTTACTTGAATTAAATTGGACCAAAGTTCATTTTTAGTCTCTTCCATGGAAAATATCTGCTACGGTGAGTTAAAGGGGACCTATTATGCAAAATTCACCTTTTAAAGGTTTTTTTTTTACTCAACTTTGGGTATGTACTTCTTAAAAAAACAGTCTTAGGACCAAAAAATGGACCCAGCGGCATATTTACTGTAAGTAAATGTATTTTTAATGTATATTAATGACAAGTTTTATACTTCTGTCATTTTGTGATGTCACAAGCCGTACGATAACCCACTGGAACCTGCGTTCAGCCCCTTACCTAGCAACCCCCGGGTGAGGCTCCACCTCCTCAGTATAAAAAGACGTCACAGTTGTTGTTGTGCAATGTGCAGCTCACTTCACAACAAGCCTCCAATAGGGCAATGGGTAGAGCTTTGGACCAGAGAGCAGGAGACCAGGGTTCAAGACAGACACAAACAATTTAATTATTTATTTTCATTCGTTATGAACACGTTTTCTCATGTACCTCTGTTGTTTAGCTTATTAAAGCCTTGTTAAAGCCTATTTGTTCGAGTTTCTGAGGTATTTTGACCGCTGCTGCTCCCTGCTCTGGTAACAGCATGCAGAGTGAACGCAGAGCAGAGGAGGGGGAGAAAAAAAAGAAGCTGGGACCACGACTCTGCCTCTGGGTCTCATATGGTTGTACAACGGAGCTTCTGCTATTATTAGCCATGCTAACGTAAACGCTGGCTTTAGAGGGCGGAGTTAATGTAACAGATTTCTGGAGGGCGTTACCAACAGAGCTCATTAACATAAACAGCTCTTCTGKACYMAAGTCAGAYCAGGCAGAACTAGAAAATGGGAAATTTTATTATCTGAGAATTATTTTGTGCATTAAATTGAATGAACATGGTCTGGATAGCCCACAGACATACCATAAACATTTCTAGGACCCATAATTGGTCTCCTTTAAGACTCACTCAGAAATTTTTAGCTAGTTTTAAACTTGTTCCATAGCTTGTCCAAGTGAGGGAAAAAAGGCTTCAAAATAGATACAATTGCAATATGTCAATTTATTTTTTATTATAAAATATTTTAGCTGTCCTGTTTCCACAAATCACATTATTTTCATTCGGTTATTACACTAAAACTGTTTTCTTTGTGCTACACATTAGCATGCTATACTTCTAATGCTATTTTTAGTTTGTTCAGATTTTGGAATTAGCATCAGATTTAACTATTTCTCCTGTTTGTCCCTTTTTATTGTACAGTTTTTGTCTAGATAATCCTATATGTAGAAAAAAGTTACTCAGCTTGCCATAAAAAAAACGTGATTCTGCACTATTATCTAAAACTTAGCAAGACCAAAATTTTGTTATATCCTTTTAAATTTCAAAATATTAATTTACCTGATGGAGGTAATAAAAATACATTTAATTCTATTTTATTGTGTCCAGTCACTCATCTCCAGCCTGTAACTTTAGGAGTGTTTTCCCTTTGCCACACAAGAACATTTGGAACTTCTTTTTTCTTGAAAAAAATCATAAAATCTATCATCTACTGTTTGTGCATGTACTGAACGTCATCTCAGAGGGTCTCAGGATGAAAGATCAGCGACTATATTCTTCACAGAATGGCATCACATTACTTCAGTGCACCTTTCTGATTAAATGCTCAGGCATTAAAATGCACTTTCGCTAACGCCAGCTTCCACATAGGAGAGGCGGATTTCTCTGAAACCACCTCGCTGGAGCCCGTCAGCATCAGAACTGGTTTCTGTGAGACGCAGCCATGTTTACATACAGGTAACAAGCAACTGCATCACTGCAGATTATAATTTAAATTAACTTAAATTAGCATTTTAGATGAGCAAAAACCCACAGAAACCAGTGATGCTGCCCTGACGGCTCTGTTATCGGCCTTGTGCTCATTTGCTCGTTTCCTGTCATCAAAGGTTAAAAATAGGAATTGTATAGTTTTTTATTACTATTATTACAAAGCGGATTCCAAAAAAGTTGGGACACTAAACAAATTATGAATAAAAACTAAACGCAATGATGTGGAGGTGCCAACATCTAATATTTTATTCAGAATAGAACACAAATCACAGATCAAAAGTTTAAACTGAGAGAATGTATCATTTTAAGGGAAAAATATGTTTCAAAATTTCATGGTGTCAACAAATCCCAAAGAAGTTGGGACAAGCCATTTTTTACCACTGTGTGGTATCCCCCCTTCTTCTTACAACACTCAACAGACGTCTGGGGAGAGAGGAGACCAGTTTCTCAAGTTAATAGGAATGCTCTCCCATTCATGTCTAAAACGGGCCTCTAACTGTTCAGTCGTCTTGGGCCTTCTTTGTCGCACCTTCCTCTTTATGATGCACCAAATGTTCTCTATAGGTGAAAGATCTGGACTGCAGTCTGGCCATTTCAGTACCCGGATCCTTCTCCTACGTAGCCATGATGTTGTTATTGCTGCAGAATGTGGTCTGGCATTATCTTGTTGAAAACTGCAGGGTTTTCCCTGAAAGAGATGATGTCTAGATGGGAGCATATGTTGTTCTAGAACCTGAACATAGTTCTCTGCATTAATGATGCCTTTCCAGACATGTAAGCTGCCCGTGCCACAAGCACTCATGCAACCCCAGACCATCAGTGATGCAGGCTTCTGAACGGAGCGTTGATAACAACTTGGGTTATCCTTGTCCTCTTTGGTCCGGATGACATGGCGTCCCAGTGTTCCATTACAAACTTCAAATCATGACTCATCTGACCACAGAACAGTCTTCCATTTTGCCACACTCCATTTTAAAAGACCCCTAGCCCAGTGCAAACGTCTGAGCTTGTGGAGCTTGCTTAGAAATGACTTCCTCTTTGCACTGTAGAGTTTCAGTTGGCAGTGGCGGATGGCACGGTGGATTGTGCTCACTGACAATGCTTTCTGGAAGTATTCCTGAGCCTGTTGTGTTATTTCCTTGATAGTGGCATTCCTGTTTGAGGTGCAGTGACGTTAAAGGGCCCGGAGATCACGAGCATCCAGTAGAGTTTTACGGCCTTGATCCGTAGCCTGGCCCTTGCCTTCCTACGCAGTTCGGCTCAATTCTAGTTTCCCTTCTCTGCTCCGTCTGGGATTTCTCCCATTGAGATGGATTTCGCTGGCAGATTTTTAGCCGGGCCAATCAGAGAAGAGAACGTCGATTTCCTGCGCAGTGTCTGCTTGCAGTTTATTTTACCTGGGCCAATCAGCAAACAGAAGGTGGAGTTTTGAACGACGTCGCCTTTCTGTGCGGTATCTGCTAGTTATTTTAGCATACGGCATAGGGCTGCCACAAACGATTATTTTTATAATCGATTAATCACTGATTATTTTTTCGATTAGTCGACTAATCGGATCATACGTTAATTGAATATAAAACATACAGCTTATCGCGCCAGAATGCAGCTGCTATTATATAACCATGGTTAGATTTTAGCTACATGCTAACTAAAAATAATTGCTGTGGAAGGTAAGTTCTGCTCTGCAGATATTACACAGGTTTCTCTTTCATTTTCTTAAAATTATCCCACACTTCTGAGCTCTGTTGTCAGGTAGCCATGATACCAGAGCCTGTCTGTATAATGTCTTGTGACGTCCACGGCCTACCCCAGTTACCACCACTGTGCATGTGTGTAAAGGACAGAAAGGCAGATGTGGCAGTGGAAGGTGTCAAAGCAGTTTGAAGAGAAAAACAAAGTAAAGAACAAAAAAATAAATAAATAAAACGATTAATCGATTATTAGATTAGTCGTCGATTAATCGTTGCAGCCCTAATAGAGCAATGGAGGAAGTGAATGAAGCCAGTCTATGTTGATAAGGCTTCCAAATTAAATTAAATTTGTCTGACAAAGCAGCAGCTCTCATTTACAGCCGTCTCGTTRYGCTRGGTATATTTCTCCTCTCAGTAGGGTTGTTTACAGCACACGCGATTTCCAGTTAGCTTCTTAGCTTAGCCTACTTCCCAGCGACAACACATACACGCTTCAGCAGAGGCCATGCCTCCTGCAAGAATCGCTTCTCCATGCATCAAGTCCAGACCCTTGTACGAAGCAAAGTGAAGGACAGGGTCTGGTTTTTACCAGGCTACTTACACACAGCAATTGTTCCAGATTCACTGAGTCTTTTGATGAGGTTATGCATGGTTGATGATGATAACTTAAAAGTCTTTGCTATTTTACGCTGGGTAACACCATTCTGGTATAGCTGCACTATCTTTCTGCGAAAAAATGGTGGAATTGGTGATCCTCTATCTTGGCTTCAGAGAGACACTGACACTCTAAGAAGCTTTTTTTATACACAAACATGTTGTCAGTTGACCTAATTAGTGTTATTTGGTCTTCCAGCTGTTAGTTATATGCTCAATTAGCTTTTTCCAGCCACTTATTGCTACTTGTCCCAACTTTTTTTGGGATTTGTTGACACCATGAAATTTTGAAACATTTTTTTTTCCCTTAAAATGATACATTCTCTCAGTTTAAACTTTTGATCTGTGATTTGTGTTCTATTCTGAACAAAATATTACATGTTGGCACCTCCACATCACTGCGTTTAGTTTTTATTCACAATTTTAGTGTCCCAACTTTTTTGGAATCTGCTTTGTATTAGAATTTGTGTTTATTAATGTGAATTTGAGTCAAAGAAAAACATTTTGGAAAATACATGGTGATGAAGTGTTTTAATTACAGAAAATTACACCCATGCTGGACCGCATTTAAACTTTCACCAGTTAAAGCAGCTTGAAATTTGTTTTTAGGCTATTTATTTATTGTTTTGCTCTTGCAGATGTCTATGAAAGAGGATTAGGGCCACTGGAAAAAAATTCTTCAAAATCTCAGAATTCTGAGATTAGTGTTTAATTTATTTTTCAGTGGCTCTAATCCTCTTTCGTAGAAGTCAGAAAGTTACTGATAATTTATTTTTTAACACTTGTACAAGTGCATGACTTTAAGAGAGGGTTCCTACACCGTTATATCAAAATTCCCAATGTCTGGATTTATTTTAATTTCTTTAAAACATACAAGCAAGATTTAATTGGGGAAAAAAGGGACTGTTAATCGACCATGTAATGATTTTATGGTCCTAAATTGGTTTTCAACATAAGGTTGTGATTCAGGGTAAAACATGTCATAGTTTTACATTTATAAAAGGAATGTCAGGAATTACAACGGTTTTATTTTCACATACTTTTAGGAGCTGAAAGTACTAAAAATCAAATCCCTCTCTCTTCAAAACTACTGTTAATGTTCTGCTTGTTTTCAGATATCAGGAGAAAATGAAAGTCAACCAATGTATTTTCCAAAATGTTTTTTTTTTTGTTTGTTTTTTGGAGGGTTGATGTGACTGTTTCAGTTCAATTTTTGCTTATTCTGAATGTTTTGGGTTTGCTTACATGATTTTTGTTAAACCATCTTAGCAGCATCTCTTCAGGTCATGGATGACGTTTTGTCTAATTTAAATAAATGTGCTCATTGTTGTTCTGTCTCCAGATCAGTGTGTAGATGCTGCCTTCATTCTTTGTGTCCTCTGAGCAGAGGAGGAAATGTTTCCTGTTTACAGCTTTTAGTTCTACAGCTCTAATTTCATTTCTGCTAAAATTAAGATTGAACTGAGACTAAACTTTATCCTCTTCTTCTCATTGGCCGGCTGAGATCACTGCAGGCTCATAACAGAGGTAACTTCTTTATCATTTTGTAACAAAAAAGAAATATAAAACTTTGTACTAATTTTCAAATAAAGAGGCTTTGATACAACAGCTGTCTTGTTGGGTTTATTCAATATTTTTACAATGATGGATGATTAGTAATTCTTCTAGATGAACAATTTTTGGAGCAGCCTAACTTTAATATATTTACAGTACAGAGAAAAGAAATTAAGCCAACTTTAAAAAACATGCTGGTTTGTGTGCTGTTCTTTAATGACTGATTTAAACACACACTTGGAACGTCCTGTTCTTAAAAATGACTCCATTCAATAAATCTATGCAGCCAAGTGTCATTGCAACCTTGTGATGCTTTAACTCAGTGAAAACGGAGTGCATACTTGGATTTTTTTCTCTTTTCGGGCAGCCCACATCTACGGCTGGAAGTGCACATCTACCCAAAACTTAAAGAAAAGCAGCAAAATGGAAATGACGGGATAGAGACAAGTGCATAGTGATGTGGTCCCAAAAGCCACCAGTGTTAAAAAAAAAAAAAGGTTTGTGTTACTGTTTCAGAGATTACACCGTCATCGCTGGCCAATAGGCACATCTTGGTAATCACCATTTAAAGTCTCCAAAGCTCTAGAATTCCAAGGATTTGAAAAAGGTACAGGTTTTTACTGACACCTGGTGGCAACATGAGAGAAAGCAGCGACCTGTGTTCTCAGTGCTTGCTGAGGCTCCAGAGGGGGTCTAGGCTGCTGAGGGGGTCTTTGCCGTCGTCACCTCGGGTCGCGTGGAGACCCTGTCCCTCTGCTGGCTGCAGGAAGCTCTGCTTGGTCACTCGCTGTTTCCCTCGACCTCCTCCTTCCAGGGAGAAAGCCTCCGGCGTGAGGGAGGCCAGCAGGTCCAGGGATGAGGCAGACGGAGCCGTAGCGGCAGGAGGCGGGCTGATGCAGGGCGCGGCCTCTAAAACGGGTGGCGTAGATGGGGAGAACCCGTCGAGGCCGTTGGGCGGCGGAGGAGAGCACGTGGGCGAGGTGAGAGGTGGGCTGAAGGAGGACGGGGGCTGGGAATCTGGAGGAGGGTCCTGGAACAACTGCAGCTCACCCAGCGAGTCCAGGCTCGGTAAGATGGTTCCAGACTGCTGCTCCGGGCCACATGAGGCGCTGGCCTCCATGGCGGGGTCTGTAGCGCTGGGTGGCCGGATGCTGAACTTGTCAATGGTGGCCTGAATGGAGCTGATAGGCATGTCCCCGCCGAGGACGATGTCCTGCTGGGACTCTTGTCTCGAATAAGGCTGCAGAGGGAGATCATTGAGAGAAATGTTAAAATACAACAGAAAGAGATGCAGTCAAGTCAAGCTCCGTCTACTACTGCTCTATTGATAAGATGGATACCTCATTTGAACAAAACATGCAGAATTCCTATGAAACAACCAGGAGCACACAATGTGAGAAAATACAACATCAAAGTCAAAAGGAATTGAAGACTGAGGTTTACTGTAGTCCAAATTTACAAAAAACACTCCAACATGTGATTCTAACATTTCTGTTTCTCTATAAATTGCATTGTTGACATATTTGTAACTTTTTTTAAACAAAATTTAGCAGCAGCATAATTTTACTGTGTTCCTAGTGCTTCAATTAAATCTATATCCTTTGCAGGTAACTGCACACTCAAAGTGAGCACACTCAGATTAGTCCGGTATCAAAGAAATAGTTGTAATCTTTGATTTAGGGACAAAAGCTTAAAGATAACATTGATAAATAAGAAACTACTGGTGCAAAAATCAATAAGAAATATTATTAGTTTTAGATAAAATACACAGTAAAATAATTGTTTAAACTGCAAAAATAGATTCATAAATACACTTTGCACATTGTTTCAAAGTTTCAATAATTTCTAAAAGTCTAGAAACAGTAAATAAAACAAAGTATAAGTGGTTCTAATCTTTCACTTTGCTTTCTTTGAATGTAATTAGTTAACACCATTAACTTTTTACTGTTAGATATAGATTTTATGATGAACATTTTGTTTATTCAGGGTTCCTACAGTTTAAGGCAAGTTAAATTTAAGACCAATTTCATAATAAACACAAATGACAAAATAAAATAAAAACTCTGGCAGAAACTCATAAACCAAAGTATTTTTGGTTGAAGTAATAAAACATTGCTAATAGACCAATTGTTTTTTTCCATATCTAACTATAGCAGAAACATTCTTAGCAGTCAGTTTTAAACTTAATTTAATTTCTGGAAATCCTGTAACGACCCAAAATTTGGAGTTTTAGGACCCACAGTGGGGTCTTAACCCCAATTTGCTATACATGAAACCTTAAAGTGCCCGTGTCAGTTTTTAGTAAGAAAAGTGAATGCATTTTTGGAAAGACAACATTAACAGATTACAAACCGAATTTCTCACTGCTCAGATGGACAGTTGTTGAGATGTTTGCATGTGAAATAACAGGAAGTGATGTCAAAGGGGAATGCTTGCATGTGAATATTAAAAATATATATTTTTACCAATTATTTTAATATTTGAGATGAACTACAATCATGGTATTTACAATGTGTTAACATTTTTAAGACTTCTGAAAGATTGATTTGAGACATTTTAAGGCTAATTAAGGCTTTATTTTTGGATTGATGAATTCAATGCCTTTTAAGAGTTTTTAAGGGTCTGCAGGAACCCTGTTAATGTTAATTTGCTCACAAGATTCCTACAATTCCAGGTCGGTTTACAAACTAAATGTTGGTCACAGGTTGATAAATCCAAGAAGAGTCGAACCTTAGTGGCTGCAGCGTTGGTGTTCTTGATGTAGGCGGCTGTGGTGATGCCGTGGCGCTGAAGGACCTGCTCAGCGTGCTTCAACACAGCCTCATAGCAGAACTTCAGGTGGAGCTGGAGACACACAAGTAAAATTCATTATAAATTGACAAACATAAAATTTACTCATTCAGAGGTTTGGCGCTCTTCAAAATTCACTCATCGTTTTTACATGTGGGAAATCTGACCAACCATGAACCAAGTCTGATGCTGAATCTACAAGTTTTACTTCTTGTAATTCCTTTCTGCCTGAATCAAACCCAAACCCAGCTGGAGACGTCGGCGTGTTTCTGACCTTCTCTTGCAGCATGTTCTTTCTCTGTTGTCTCATCTTCTTCACCAACAGTGGAAGGTCCGGGATGCCGTTTCCTGCCTCCAGCTCCTGCAGGGCGGCGTAGAGCAGACAGAAGACTCCGGACCGTCCGACTCCAGAGCTGAGATAGAAAATAAAACAGACTGTGAGCAACACTGATCTGACAACTGAAGTGCTAGAATAAAAAAAAAAAACTAAATAAATTCCTCTAACAATCAAAGGGAAGTACTAGAGATAAATAAGTCATAATCGTGTTTATAAAAGTAGTCGCTGTACTAGGTAAAAAACTGGTGGAGCTACAGGTGCTGGTCATAAAATTAGAATATCATGAAAAAGTAGATTTATTTCAGTAATTCCATTTAAAAAGTGAAACTTGTATATTATATTCATACATTACATACAAACTCATATATTTCAAATGTTTATTTTGTTTAATTTTGATGATTACAAATGACAACAAATGAAAATCTCAAATTCAGCATATCAGAAAATTAGAATCTTGTGAAAAGGTTCAAAATGGATGGCACCTGGTACCACACTCTAATCAGCTAATTAACTCAAACCACCTGCAAAGGCCTTTAAATGGTCTTTCAGTCTAGTTCTATAGGCTACACAATCATGGGGAAGACTGCTGACTTGACAGTTGTCCAAAAGACGACCATCGACACCTTGCACAAGGAGGGCAAGACACAAAAGGTCATCGCTAAAGAGGCTGGCTGTTCACAGAGCTCTGTGTCCAAGCACATTAATAGAGAGGCGAAGGGAAGGAAAAGATGTGGTCGAAAAAAATGTACAAGCAAGAGAGATAACCGCACCCTGGAGAGGATTGTGAAACAAAACCCATTCAAAAATGTGGGGGAGATTCACAAAGAGTGGACTGCAGCTGGAGTGAGTGCTTCAAGAACCACCACACACAGACGTATGAAAGACATGGGTTTCTGCTGTCGCATTCCTTGTGTCAAGCCACTCTTGAAGCACAGACAGCGTCAGAAGCGTCTTGCCTGGGCTACAGAGAAACAGGACTGGACTGCTGGTGAGTGGTCCAAAGTSATGTTCTCTGATGAAAGTAAATTTTGCATTTCCTTTGGAAATCAAGGTCCCAGAGTCTGGAGGAAAAGAAGAGAGGCACTTCATCCACGTTGCTTGAAGTCCAGTGTAAAGTTTCCACAGTCAGTGATGGTTTGGGGTGCCATGTCATCTGCTGGTGTTGGTCCATTGTGTTTTCTGAGGTCCAGGGTCAACGCAGCCACATACCAGGAAGTTTTAGAGCACTTCATGCTTCCTGCTGCTGACCAACTTTTTGGAGATGCAGATTTCATTTTCCAACAGGACTTGGCACCTGCACACAGTGCCAAAGCTACCAGTACCTGGTTGAAGGACCATGGTATCCCTGTTCTTAATTGGCCAGCAAACTCTCCTGACCTTAACCCCATAGAAAATCTATGGGGTATTGTGAAGAAGAAGATGCAATACACCAGACCCAACAATTCAGAAGAGCTAAAAGCCACTATTAGAGCAACCTGGGCTATCATAACACCTGAGCAGTGCCACAGACTGATCGACTCCATGCCACGCCGCATTGCTGCAGTAATACAGGCCAAAGGAGCCCCAACTAAATACTGAGTGCTGTACATGCTCATACTTTTCATGTTCATACTTTTCAGTTGGCCAACATTTCTATAAATCCTTTGTTTTTATTGGTCTTCAGTAATATTCTAATTTTCTGATATGCTGAATTTGAGATTTTCATTTGTTGTCATTTGTAATCATCAAAATTAAACGAAATAAACATTTGAAATATATGAGTTTGTATGTAATGTATGAATATAATATACAAGTTTCACTTTTTAAATGGAATTACTGAAATAAATCTACTTTTTCATGATATTCTAATTTTATGACCAGCACCTGTACATGAACTACATTTACCTGCAGTGCACCACAACAGGTGTGTGTAAGGGCCTCTGGTGGAGGTAGTGTCCGTGAACCTCCTGGACGAACCGCAGCAGGTTGCTCTTGCTGTCAGGAAGACCCCTAATCCGACAGAAAAATATGAAAAGTTCAGAATGAAACACACACAAAAAAAGTTTACTGGTTTTATAAAAACAGGTGACCTTACAGCTCTGGCCAGGAAGTGAACTGGAGATGAACGACGGTACGCTTCAGGCTTTGGTCGCGGTACTGGAGACTGATCATGCGCTCCACGTGTGTCGGTGTCGTCTTCTGTGTGGTTAGGCTGAGTGTGATTGGTCCCTGAGAGAGCTGCTGACCGCGCTCTGTTGGGAAGTACCGCAGAACTTTTCCCTGGAAGAAAATTAAGCAGAAAAATCACAAAACTCTTAAAAAAATTAAATTACAATAACGAGGGCCCTTTTTGTTTTTTGGATTAAACCTGATACCTTTTCCAGCTCCTGCTCTGAAACGAGCATGACTATCAGCGACACCTTCTGCTCGTACACCATCAGCCAGAAGTCTGCTGCTGTGCCGGTGAGCGGCGCCTGCGTGGCAATAAGGCGAGGGCAGTATGGCGACAAGTCCTCCACGTAGCTGGCGTTGATGTAATCGTCTTTGCCTGACTGCAGCACCACACGGTTGAAGTCGTAAGGCATAACATCCTGGTGCCGGTTCTTCATGGTGTAACAACGGGCAATAGCTATAGACAGCTGGCGGGAATCCTTCTCTTGTTGGTCCTGTAGCTCTTTCCAGCGGGCATCCAGCACTGACAGACCCCCCTCGTTTTCTGAGGGGTGCTCCAGGGCATCTACTTGGGCTCTGTAACGTTCTAGCTCACCGTGAAGACGGGCAACGCACTCCGGTGCTTGGTATGGATCACCGTGAATGAGGAGAACTCCTTGGGAGTTCTTCCTTCGACGCTCCCCATCCTGAGGGTCTGCTTTAGTGGGCTGGAGGACGTTGGTGGGGGCCTTGGTGCCTCCAGGTTGGCTCTCTGGGCTGGAGGAAAGAAGATCATCTGTGCTCGAGTTCTCTCGTTGAAACATGGACGTGGAGGGAGAAACGGCAGAGGGAGAGGGAAGAGAGGGTGGGCCTGAGCTTCCAGGAGTGGGGGCTGGTGTGGGCCTTTGCTGGGGATTCAAACCTAAAGAGGCAGGACCAGGAGATGGGGTTGGAGACGGGGGGATAGTGTTGGTTGGCTGCACTGCTGGAGGGCCTCCAACAGAGGGCTGAATCATGTGTGGAGCAGGGGGAGCATGCGGCCCCACGACACTGGGTTGTTGTGGAGCACCTGGAGGTAAATTAGTCCCTAGAACTGAAGAGTACATAGAAGGCTGAGAATGGGTCATAGGAAGGGAAGCTGCTGGCTGGGGTGCCAAAGGCTGTTGAGGCAGAACTGGAGCTCCACCGGGGTAACATACCCCCCCAGAATGAGCAATATGAGGCTGAGATTGGCTGGAAATCTGCAGGGGCTGCTGTGGGATACTTGGTATGGGCGGTTGGCCAGGTATAGGTTGATGCTGTGCAGTTACTGCACTCTGAGGCAACTGGGGAACAGGTCCTCTCGGCAGGTGGGTCTGAGGACCAGAAGCCATATGAATTGAGGCAGGGGGCACCTGAGGGTGCATGGTGGGAGGGGTTGGTTGATTGGATGGAGGAATGTAATTAAGTGACGCTGGAGGCATCGTCTGACTTGTAGGGGGCAGCTGTGCTCTGTGAGCACCTGGTATTTGCATTTGTCTGTGAGGCAGAATTTGCTGGACATTTGGACCGATCGGGGTTTGTTGCTGCGGTGGCACTATCTGTTGGTGGGGGAGTCGAGGGGGCATCTGTTGGTTGGGATAGGGTAGATACGCAGTAGAAATTGGAGGCCCAGGCTGAGAAGATGCAGATGTTGGTGGATGTGCAGTCTGGGGTGGCCTTGGCATGGAGCCTGGCATCAAGTGAGGGGATTGTTGGGGTACAAAGGTCTGTGGAGTCTGATAGCCTTGGGGTATCTGAGACTGCTGAGGAAAACCATTTTGTTGATGCGGCTGAAACTGAGCAGGAAACGCTTGCTGGTACTGAGGAGGAACACCAGGCTGTGGGGGCATATATCCATGAGAGTAAACTTGTTGGGGCTGAACTGGAGGACCAGGAAGTCTTGGGCCAGGTTGGTAGCCCTGAGGGAGAGGTTGTCCGATGGGCTGGGGGTACTGCTGTGGAAGCTTCTGCTGCTGTGGTTGGGACACAGGAGTCTGGCCCCTGCTTTGAATGGGAGCTCCTGGTTGTGGTATCATGTGGGGGTATGGTCCGATCTGTGGTACTGTGTATCCAGCTGGGGCTACAGGTGGGACAGGGTGATGTGGCGTGGGGGTGTAGCTGGCGATAGGAGCCTGAATGCTGTCTACAGTTGTGGTTGAGGGCCGGACCGGGACGGGGGCAACGGGACCTGGTTGTGGAGCTTGAGGAGGGGGTGGACGATAACCAGGAACAAATGGCTGGGGGGGCATTTGTGGAGGCCTCTGCGGGGTCATATGAGGGTGGGGCATGTGTGGCAGGGGTCCTTGTGTTGCTATGGGCCCTGAAGTCGGAAAGTGAGCAATCCTTGCCAGGAGCTCCGGAGGTGGCAGGTTGGCAGGGAAGTGAGGAAGACCAGCAGCTGGAGCACCAGGCCAAGGCAGGGAGGAACTGCAACCGAGTTTAGCACCAGGAGGCATGAAGGCTTCAGGACCGGGCGGACGACCACCGGCAGTGGGAAGGGAGGGAATATCAGGAGGGAGACTACGGAGATCTTCAGGCAGGTCACCTCCTAAGGCCAAGATGGCAGCACTGAGCTGAGCCAACTCTGGATCTTCTATGCTAGAAGAAGCAGAGTCAACGTCAGAAACCCTCGGCTTCAGGGAGGGCTTAGCCGCAGTAGGCCGGGCGGGGGGCTTCTTTTGGGTCTCTCTGCAAAGAAGAAATGGCAGATTTTACCTGGTCGTATTATACATGATTAAATACAGTACATTCTCTCATTCTATCCTCCTCAAAAGACTAACCTCAATTGGCATCTCAGGTACTCCATTAGACTGGTTTGAATCTTATCACTAACTGCACTCAATTCATTCATTAAACTTAAATCCTTCTGTTCTCAGGCTTCCCCTGCCTCCTCCGGTGTGCCCCAAGGCTCTGTCCTCGGACCCCTCCTCTTCATCACTTGTCTTCTTCTTCTAGGTTACATCTTCCAAAAATTTGGCATCCATTTCCACTGCTATGCTATGACACACAGCTCTACCTGGCAACAAAACCAAACTCTACGCACCCACCCTCCATCCTCACAGACTGTCTCAGTGAACTCAATCACTGGTTTTCTTCAACTAAACAGTGATAAAACAGAAATCATCCTTGTTGGCACTAAAAATTCCATCTCAAAATCACGACATCTTCTCTCGGTTATCCCCCTCATCCCAGGTCAAGAGTCTCTGTGTCATCCTCAACACCACTCTCTCCTTAACTGTACACATCAACAATGTTACTTGGTCCGCCTATTTTCATCTCAGAAATATTTACGGTCTCTGCCCTTCTCTCACATCCCAGTCCACTGCCATCCTTATTCACAGTCTCGTGACTTCTCACATTGACTAGAGCAACTTGTTTTTGGCCTTTGAAGCATTTATTTTGCCTTAAAATGCATTTGATGTGAAATCCCAAAATAAAACCTCGCTGTTCAAAGGCATTCTTACTTTTCTAGCAAGGGCTTCCTCTCTTCTGCCCTGGTCTGGAACAGGGTCTTTGCTCTCTCCAGCAGACGTGATGCTTTTGTCTCCAGGTCATCATAGAACTCTTTCCCCTCCTGTGATTTCTTCATCAGGTCTTCGTAGGCTTCATAGGAACCCACCAGTCCCTGAACTGTACTGTTCCACTGTTGCTCAGTCTGGTTCAAGCCCTTGCGTACCGAGGCGTACTGAACGTTCGCCTCGGTCAGGGCCTTTAAGATGTTCTCCTGCGCTGCGAGGTTCTGGTCGATATAAACTTTCACTTGCTCGTATTTCTTCAGCTGCTCCTCGAATATACGCTGGAAGGACATGAGTTGGTTAAATATTTTAAATATAAAGCTAATTATTTTCAAGATAAGCAATTAACATAAACTAGTACTGTACCTTCATATCTGCTCTTTCTGCGGTGACAAGTGAAGAAGTGATGTCATCCTGCTGGATGAGATCGCGAAGCTGTTTTTCCAAAGAGTTTCTCTGTTCCCTCATCTCCTGCACTTTTCCCAGGATCCGCTTCATACGCTGCAGTCCTGCCATTTCCTCTGCACACACCACATTTCAATCAAATTCTACTCTTAAAACTACATTCTACAGCTATGTACAAACTAAACCCACTGTAGCAGAAAGACGTTTTCCAATGAAGACATTAGGCATTAATAATTCTAAATTAAATCAATAATTATTCATTGAATTTATAGCCTGACCATCTGATAAGATCCATTGAGCTGTAGGAAAATAAAGTAAAAAAAATAAAATGAAATTTTGTTTGAATTAAGAATAAACAGAAATTAATTAAAATTGCCAAACTTTACTTTTTTTCTAACAAGTAATGTTTGTTAATGTACATAAAACCTTGTATCATCAAACACACCTTCACTAAGCTGAGGCCTAGGCAGAGCCTCTCTCAGGGTCTCCAGCGGCCCCCCAAGCAGGCGCAGATTGCTGATGTGGAGATTCATGGCCCTGTGGAGCTCAGTGTTGGTAAAACTGGCCTTCTCGTGGACCTCCATGTACTTTTCCAGGTCCCTGCGGATCTCAGTCAGGGCCTGGCTCTGCGCTGCTGGGTGAAACTCGGCTGCAGCGGGACCACAAACCTCCTGGAGGGCCCTCTCGCCGGCTTCGTCCATCTCCAGGACATCTTGGATCTCTTTCAGTGAAGACTCCACATCGGTGAAGACGCCTGAGAGAACTGAAGTAACAAGAGTGTGAGGTTTATACATCAACACTGTTAAGGTACAGAACAAACTCCCAAAACTGTCGTAGGAAGTCTTTTTCCAGAGATTCGTGTGGATTCTGGGGAATTTTCAAATAATAAACATGGCCGCTGAAATGAACAGTTGTTGAGATGTTTGCATGTGAAGTAACAGGAAGTGATGTCATAGGGGAATGTTTAAATGTAAACAGAGCATTGTTACAATGGCTGACAACACAATGTAGAGAAGAATCTATTTTGATTATTTTTGAGTCATTAATGAGAGATAACGAAGTTAAAATAATATTGTTTGAAAAAAAACAGAGTACATTTTTTAAAGAGTTCCCCTTTGATGTCACTTCCTGTTTCACTTTGGCTGAGCCAAGTTCACAAGAAAAGCAGGGTGTTGTGACAAAATGGGTAAAATCATGTACCATGACATGTTTCTTAAATATAAAGATGTTTTCTTTGACTTTTTGTACTTGAGAGATATGCATGTCACAGGCACTTTAAAAGCAATAACTAACAAAACCTTCATTTTATTGAATCTTAAATATTTTTTGTCAAAACGATGGTGTAGATTCTCAGTCACACAGGACATGGCATTTATTTGCTTTAGTTTATTTTATGAATTTATGCCAAAAGAAAGTCATGCATCACCAACCCTGCATAGTTTGATTTGTAAATAAGAATCTAAGATTACATTTTATTGTCCATCTTCATAATAAAAGAGTCACTTTTACTGATGTGTTTGAAACTGTTTCTACAAACCCTGCATGGACTGAATGAGGCTCTTGACGGTGTCTGGTCGAACGCTGAGCGCAGCACACTTCTCCATCAGAACCGGCGGTATGTGGTTGTACATGTCCAGGTTGTCAACAGACTCTGGCTCCAAGCCCAGAGAGTCCATGAACTGCCTGCAGGAGGCGAGGAAACCAGTCACAGGACGATTAAAGAGAGTCATACATTCATATTCATATATTCCTAGCAACACTGAACTGATAAAAATGTGTTCTTGAGCATTTTACAGACTCAAAACCTCCAACACCGACAATCATCAACTCACTCTAGAGTTTCAGTCTTGCTGTCGATTTTGGCCATGACGTCTCTCAGCAGCTTGGCTTTCTCCTCACTGGCACAAACAGACACGATTTAAGTTTCTCAATGCAGGAACAGTTTATTTTGTTTTAAATCATTTTAATTAACTGCTGATGGAGCTCACCTGTACAGAGAAGAGGCTTCGTGTGCAGCCATGGGCACCAGTTTCGCAAAAAGGTCTGGTCCAGTGACACTGGGGTCGGTGGGATTGACAGGCAGAGCTTTCACCAGCGGTGCCCCTACGAGAAGCAGGGGAAAGTTTTGTGTTCATAACAACAACAACTTGGCTTTCTGAGTTTAGATAATAAATCAAAAACAGGAAACCTTATAATTTAATGGATTTAAACTAAACATTATAGCATCTGATGACTGAAATAACATGTTTTTTTGTATAAAACAACAAAGATTCACAGTTTCCTGCCTTTAAAAAGCTGAGGGTTTTTTTTTTTCATTTATTTTGCAGGATTACACTAAATACAGGTATGTTTGAATTAAGGATTTTTACATAAATATTCATTTAGGCTCTAGGAAGCTGCTGAAGACAAACATAAATTTAATGCATTTATTTAAAATAAGTTCTGGACGACACTCTTCCACATTATTTGCCTTTTAAAAACGGATGTAAAGCAGATTACAGCCTGACAAGAATGGAAGCATTCATATAAAAGGTTGAGTCACACACACACAGAGAGAGAGACAGTGTCGCACAAAGATAAAAGCAACACAAATCATTCTATTCATACCACAACGCATATTTAAAATAACATTTAATTAAAAAACATGCAAAACCAGCTTTGCATGTACACATAAACCAAAACACACTTCTGTTACCTTTGACTGAGGCCAGAGTCTCCAGAGAAGGAACTGTCTCGTGATAAATGAAGTCGTTGTCCTTTTTGGCAGAATTAAACCTTTAGATTTAAAGAAATATAAAATATCACACAAATATCTTTAGTTTGAATCAATTATAATAATAAAACCTCCAAAGAAACGACGTAAAAACGCCATCTTTATGAAATATTTTTCCTCACTTTCCACCAATAACATCCATGGTGAATCTCAAGGCCTCTTGCACGCTGTCAGGTTGACCCTGATTGGATCAGGACAAAACAAAGTTCAGTTTGTAAAACTGACCAAACAACAACTTCCTGACATGTTGCAATGTGACACCAGAGTGCGTGAGGAGTGCTTTACCTTAGCTAGCTTGACCGCTTCATTGAGTTTGTCCAAAGAGCTCTGCAGATAAGCCAACTGTTGGAAACAGGACATTTCTGTCATGAAATTCATCTTGTTTTCAGATTGATATATCCAGGGGTAGACATAAGGATATTTTTCAGGTTGTCCAGCGGACAACCAGGAGACAGGATCTGGTTGTCCGAAATGAAAATAGGTTGTCTCGGACAACCTAAACATTGGTTATGTCTACACCTGTTTATATAATCTGCAGGCTACTGCTAGTTTAAAAAGTTTACAGACAAGAAAATGCAAATAAGTTTATTATTTTAAAATGGTCTTTTAGGGAACTCAGTTAAAAGCAAAACACATCTTTAAAGTGCCTGCAGTGCGTATACTTAAAGGGATCTACGATTAGTTGCAACATTAGACATTATATGATAAACATTTATTTTAACTGTAAAATAAAGACTAAAAATGCTGTACTGAAACTGAAAATATGGATGGAGGACAACAGAGCTGCTTCATGGAAGAAGAACCTCAGCTTAGTCTGTTAATTTTAGCGTTAGCCCCGATGCTATCACCATATATAGTGCTACACATTCAACATCTGATTTTTATGTATTTGTTATAAATGTCATCCTGGGTTAGGTTTGTTATGTGGGATAAAACAGCAGAAAAGTTTTTTTTAAATAGTAAATTTCGAAGGCTTTGGGTTCATATTAAGACATAAAAATTCATGGATGAGCATTTATTACTTTTGGCAACTATTCCACACATGAAATAATTACTGAAAATAAATAACTTCAAATGAGTTTTTACCCGTTCTCCATACTTCTGCTGCTCCTCTGCTTGTTTCCCCATGTGAAGCTGTTAAAGAAAAAGCTAAAGTTGAACCATTTTGTGAAGCCATCGCCATAAATACAAGCACGCAAGTGTTACACATACAGTGGGGAGAACAAGTATTTGATACACTGTTGATTTTTCAGGTTTTCCCCCTTGCAAAGCTTGTAGATGACTGTAATTTTTATCATAGGTACTCTTCAACTGTGAGTGATGGAATCTAAAACAAAAATCCAGAAAAATACAATGTATGATTTTTAAATAATTAATTTCCATTTTATTGTGTGAAATAAGTATTTGATCATCTATCAACAAAAAAATTGTGTAGGTCTTCTGGACGGGTTCTTCTCTAATGAAACATTTC